AACGAATTATGGATTAACATCAACTCATATTTCCTCCTATTTTTTAACAATGTAACAATATCCAGTGTAACTCACTTGACAGTCCTTTACAACGAAGGTCTTCGCCTCATCTCGTAGGAGTCCGGGAAGACTGACTGACTGACTGAGTTTGGTTTTACGCCGCTTTTAGCAATATTCCAGCAACATCACGGCGGGGGACACTAGAAATGGGCTTCACACATTGTGCCCATGTGGGGATTCGAACCCGGGTCTTCGGCGTGACGAGCGGACGCTTTAACCATTAGGCTACCCCACCGCCCGAGTCCGGGAAGACCCAGGATCACTGTGGCCAGTACTGCATCTGTACAAAGGATAGAGTATAACAAAATTGACACTATTACCATAACTAATTGTAGCCATGACTGAACACATGGTTACACAACGAGACTGTTGTATCACCTAATGAAAAATATATCAGGTTTTCAGAAAGCTAACATCTTTCCATTCACTGTCCAAATTACCTGGAGCATAAAATTATCCGTTAAACAAATAAAAAAAGTTGTTTATCGATTATATTTTCAGGGACCAACCATGCATTGGGTGTATAGCTATATTACGCAAACTGAAACAGGAAAAAAACATGCGTTACAACTCAATTACTGTGACCTTCGCTGTGAAGGACATTGGAACTGCGCATGCGCTCAATCCGTCAAGTTTGACAACCTTGTATTGTCAACGTTTGAGAAAACGCACACTATGACAATGCTTTGACAATAAACTATTGTCAACACATATCCTGTGTAAAACGCGTGGTTAAACTATAAACATGATCGTCAACACTATCTAAATATCATATCTAATAAATGTTTGTTTTAAAGCAGTCAGCATAAGACTCGCAATGTTGTCACAATAACAACATGGGTTGTCATACTGACAGCTCTCAATGTTCAAACTGACAACTTATAATTGTCAAAGCAATAATGACAACGCTAAAATTGTCAAATTGACAACGTTTTATTTACAGTGATCCGTAGTATATGAGTTGTTAAGTAAAACTTCAAAGTAGTTATCAATGTGAAATGTGACGGGAAATGTTAAACATGTTAAGCTCCTACATGAGAACAGTCACACACTGCTTGGTGTAGCAATTAAGCCCTGAATAGGGAGTGAGTGAGTTTGGTTTTACCTCTGTTTAAGCACCATTCCAGCAATATCTCGGTGGGGGAACACCAGAAATGGGCGTCCACATTGTACTCACGTGGGGACTCGAACCCGGGTTTCGGCGTGAAGACTGACTGACTGACTGAGTTTGGTTTTACGCCGCTTTTAGCAATATTCCAGCAACATCACGGCGGGGGACACCAGAAATGGACTTCACACATTGTACCCATGTGGGGATTCGAACCCGGGTCTTCGGCGTGACGAGCCAACGCTTTGACCACTAGGCTACCCCACCGCCCCTTCGGCGTGAAGAGCGATTGCTTTATCCACTGGGCTACCTCACCGCCTCGAACTGTATTCAAGACACGAGCAAAGAGTGCCCCACAAGTTAATGTTGATAATTGATAGGTAACGATTTAAAAAGAAGCTTCCTTACTGATTCGACAGCAGTACCAAACAAACGCAAATAGCCCCACCACTTTTAACATTGACGGATTAGACAAGTGCCAGAACGAACAACTAAACCATTCTTGGAATACACTGTTCACATTGTGTTGATTGATCAAATGCATTAGGCATACAGATATAGTGTCTGGTCACTGCAAACAGACAACAGTGTGTTATTGGGAGAACTGGGTTTAACCTGCATTGAACAGCTAGCATTTCAGTTATATCAGGGCTTGCCAGCTTGAGAATAGATCAAAGCCCGAGTGTGTTTGTGTACGTTTAACGCAGATACTGTGCTGGCTACCAAAGAAACCTAACCAGGGCGATCATACAATCATCGGGGCCTGGTACGCCAAAGGGAAGCAACTCTACATGGTGAACCATCACATTTCATGGGCGGAAACAGGCCCCTGACTGGCGCATTCGCCCTAAAACTATAAAACCAACCAACCATCACATTTCAGCTATGATTACATTCCGTAGATTTTTCGTTCAGTTTATATTATTATTTCACGATTGCAATGAGTTTTCAAATTGATTTGGACCGGTGATGCAAAATATAATTTTTCGAAAAAATATAATTCAGTCGCATAAAAATCCAATGCAATATTTAATGCCAAAGCGATCTTAACTGCGGAAGATGCTCATTCCAATTTCCTTTTCTCTGAAGTTCCGAATTTTAAGTTCGGCGGATCCCAAACGAAGCAAACAAATGTACGGCCTTATTCTGGATGACAGACCATCGTTTACCACAATGAAGGAAATCTACGTGCACTGGGAGTGTGTGAACAGCTGGAGGCTCCTGATGTGACACAGGAACCAAGCTGTTTCTGCCACGGCAAAGGGACGTAGCTCTGTGCTCCCTAATGGACCTGAATCTAGGGATGCATGTACATGCGCCTGTATGTCCGTAACCCATGGTCAGTGAACTCAAAGAGAGCAACGACATACCCCGAGCATTAGCGCCCGGGAAACAAATGAAAGTAGCATCTTCTTGTGGTTAAGAGCATGTTAGCAGGGATCTACCCTTGTACGTACCCAAATCGGACGTCATTAAGCCCTATGAGTGAATGAGTGAGTGTTCACGCCGCTTTTAGCAATATCACATCTGGGGACACCAGATTAAGTGCCATGACTGTGTACATCTATGTTTAAGTAAGAGGATTATAACGCTCATGAAATACGGTGTTTTCATATCGTTTTGTACAACTGAGCGTATTTTGACTAAAACTGAAATTTGGTCCTTCAGTGCGGAATGAAATTTACAATATGTTTATTTCAAGCTTCGTATACGAGTGTGGGTCTCTGTGCGTGTTGTTTCACACCGCAACAAAAATCTGCCAGCAATATTTTGGAGATTTGGAAATAATCCAGATAATCCAGTGATTGATATCAAAAGCATGGGCAATACGATGAGCCACGTCACAGAGCCGGGTCACCAGATCCATTAAGTCTACCGCGAGTCGTACACATGCAGAATGAACATGACGTGCACGTCGCCACATAATCAAAGTGAATTATATTTAATGCCTTGTTCACCAATATGCCAGCCACATCACGGCGATGGGCGATATAAATTGACTTTACGCTTGTACCTATTTCGAACCCGAGAAGATCCGGGTTAGAATTGGTCTTCAGAAATCCATGCTTGCCGTAACAAGCGACTAATGGGGTCGGGTGGTCAGGTCGCTGACTTGGTTGACGTACACGTCATCGGATCCCAGTAGCGTATGTTGATCGATGCTCATGCTGTTGGTCACTGGATTGTCTGGTCCTGACTCGATTATTTACAGACCGCCGCCATATAGTTGGATTATTGCTGAGTGCGGCGTAAAACAATAAACAAACAAATCATGATGTTGATCACTTGATTGTCTGGTGTAGATCCTATTATTTACAGAACGCCGCCATATAGCTGGAGTATTACTTAGTGCGACGATATACAACAAACATGTACCTATTTCCGGAATCGAACCCGGACTAATTACAGTGTGAGGAACGAACGTCATAACCACTGTACTTCCAAGGCGCCCCTCATATATCAAAGAAATATGTCAAATCTCATCGCAGTACACTTAGCAAGTTACGATGTGGCACCTTACCTCTTGAAATAGAGGTCGGTAGGTTTACACGCCCAAAAACACCTTTAGACGATAGAATTTGTAAATATTGTGATGGCAATACGATTGAGGACGAAGTTCACTTTTTGGTCAGCTGTCCACTATATCCAGATTTACGATACGATTTGTGGGAAAATGTACTAAATATTAACCCTTTTTTTTCTCTCTTGCCACCTTCCGACCAGGCCAAATATATGCTAGGTAATGTTAAATTAATAAAACCCTTAGCTGCATTAGTTACTAAAATGTTTAATAGACGTAAACGCACTTTGTAGTCATGTAATTAAATATACCACACTCCACTGTTACTTATAGAATTGTGATATTCTATTCTGTTTTAGATGGAATGTAGTGGCTTGTATCTCACAGGCCAGATGTTATATTAAGGGTCTTATGGTACAACATGTTAAACACAAATTATAACACTTTCTTCTCGGTAACCATTTGTAAACGCAGTTTGTAGTCATGTCATTAAATATATATACCACACTCCATTGTTGCTTACAAAGCTGTGATATTTTATTTACCACTATCTGTTTTAGATATAATATAGTGCCTTGTGTCTCATAGGCCATATGGCCGGATGTTATATTTTATTGAATGTTTTTAAGTTTATGTATGTTTTATATATAACATGTGACACAAAAATAAAAATATTTTCTTCTTCTTCTTCTTCTTCAAATATTCTTAGGCATTAATCATTCCATCAGTTAAAACCATACAACGGGTCTAGAAAATACGATTATAATACGAGCTAACCCCGGCCCGTCAGACTGAAATGTACCCATGATATCTGAGCATCGTCCATGAAACTTTAGCAATCAGAACGACCTATAGCTATATCGACAAGTGATCGGGCACTTGTTGCAATCCAACGACATTGATTATAAGGGTGTTTGTGCGATACTCTTATCTTTAAAGTATCGGCCACTTGAGTATTATTCCATCAATTAATACCATATTATACAGATATACTTCCGAATCTTTAAGTTTAGTGGATCAAACTTTGGCAATCATAACAACCTATCGACAAGTGCTCGGTGCACTTGCTGGAATCCAAAGAAATTGATTATAAAGGTATTTGTGTGATTCTCTTATCTTTAAAGTATCGGCCACTTGAGTATTATTACATGCAGTTCATAAAAACAATTTGTCACGACCGACTGCGTTTACACAATATATCTGTCGCGTGTGGCCTCTGAGCGTTTGATTGAATTAACTCTGCTTCTACTAACGCTTACAAAGGTCACGACCATTGGATCACATTCTGACAGACGCGGGTGCAGTTCTTTCCATGTTTCCAAACACTAATGAATCTGTAACATTTGTAGCCACGTATTTCTTCCCGCCATAATTCCAGTTTCTCGGTCTTAAATGTTATGTATATTTGTATGAAGAGTGTTGAATAAGGCCTCAATGGCATTCAGCCAGTCAGCATCTGGTTTGTTGCCGGAGTAACTGGCATCGATTGTGCTACCTTCAGCCATAGCTGCGCGGTATCGTTTTCCGCATCTCTATTCTGGGAACCGCTAGCATCTATTCAGACGCTAGATCCGTACTGTTTCAACGGAGGTGGGTCACAAGATTCACGTCACTTCGGAGGAGATGGAATATGTACCGTAGACGATGTCGTTACGTGAAGGAGTGAGACGATATGCTAACGTTACAGGTGCCACCAGCCGATCTGTCCGCGCAATGGGTCACATTAGCCACGGCTAAACACGTGCGAGTTTCCAGCAGCAGACTTGTGAATACCTTACGATCAGTGGATTACGACGTGAAGATCTTCATTAGCATATATACACACACAGTAGCGAGTCATATATCGCGCTCCTTCGCATCACGCATGAGTGATTTCCGAGATATTGAAGGTGAAAGTGGTTGATCGAATTGTGGCGCGTGGTGACAGAAATCGTCGTCGCCTCGTCAATTGCGAGTTATCGTGACATGGACGAAGGTTCCGATTGGGAATAGGCCCTGATGTGTATTTCTTGAGGAGCGTTGTGGCCCCCCAAAATGAGTGCTAAAAATTCTACCTACCAAGAATGTTTGGATAACGATCGTATGTGGTATGCCTTCCTGGCTTCAAGTTTGGTGACATTTGGATTGGGTTTGGTGGTTATACTTTGCTGGAGATTAATAGCCTGGCTGTGTTGTGGCAAGCGAAAACATGCTCAGGTGTCCTACAGGTCAGTCTGTCCGTAAGTCCGCCTCACTGTCCATCTGCACGCCATTTGTTGTGATGTGACGTGTTTGTGTGGATATGTACCCAAACATGCTATTTTCCCTAAACTTACTTCATCTGTTGCCATTACTCATTCACCTTCTTACTCTCTTCTCGTTCATTTTTTGAAATATTTCATTATATTTCTACTTCCAGCATTGTATCATGCTTTCATCATTTCTCATTGGTTAGTTAACAATCGGTAAATTTCTCTAATAGTATTTAAAATGTGTATGTTCAATTTTGATGTGATGAATTGACCCATTGGTGTTAGCTCTTAAATCTGTAACATTTAATGGACAATCCAGAATTGAGTGGTTACAAATTATATTAGATTATAGACCGTGGTGTCTGGTTGTTGTTTTCAATGTTAATTTTGTTGTGATATGACGCGAATGTCGAGCAAAACTCTGGCATGACTCTCAAATATTAATGTTTCTGTGACAGGTATTCAAAACGTGTGTAAAACAACTTAGATTTATTTCCTACAGAAAATGGTACCTACCAAATTGCCTGACCATGCTAAAATGATTTACATGTGAAATTATTAATTGTTTTAAATACAGGTCTGTGTTATTCTCTTTTTTGTATTCCAAACCCATCTTGCTTTTACTATTATATTTGGAATATTCTCACATTTATGACATATATAATACAAGATTTGAAAAAACTCTTTCATTTAATTTCTTCTAATTTTTTGTCATTTGACTATAAAATGGTAGCATCTTAAGATAATCCTAGAGGCGGTGGGGTAGCCTAGTGGTTAAAGCGTTGGCTCGTCACGCCTAAGACCCCGGGTTCGAATCCCCACATGGGTACAATGTGTGAAGCCCATTTCTGGTGTCCCCCGCCGTGATGTTGCTGGAATATTGCTAAAAGCGGCGTAAAACCCAAACTCAGTCAGTAAGATAATCCTAATAATGTTAGCTTTGTCTGTGGTTAATCTTCAGACTTACTGATTTTAAAACTCAAATGATATTAATTTGCATACTTTCTGGTCACAAAACACTGATAATTGTGTTGACATAGTGTTTGGCTTTTCAGTAATAAACTGCCTTCTGTCAACAGTTGTGTACATGGTATACATGCTGTGAGAAAGACCCCTTCATTGTGTGTACAGTTGATGAATGTGGTTTCCCTGTAACTGACAGACACAACAGTGCCTCCATTGAAATCATTACCAGGCTTTATAGTGTAGGCGCTGTATATGCAGTTGACGGTGTTGGATATTGAGTGGCCGATACGTTGATGTTGAAGCTGTTACTGCTATCCAAACCATGTGCATTGATACTGTGGAAAAATTCAATTTTGCCATAAAATGTGAATGTTGTTGACTGTGTATTATGGTCTAAAATGACAGAGTTGCTCCCCTTAGGCATGCAGGATGTGCTGTTCTGGGTTCATATCCTGTTTGTTTGGTCTGTTTGATACATTTACAATGGGAGTTGAGGTAAAGTGGAGTCAAATGTCATTGAACTTACATAGTGTAACATTGTTCATTTAACTGGTTAAATGCATGTACATAATTTATATTCTTGCAACCAAGTGATACATTTTGCGTACCATGCATGTGTGTAACATATAGAGAATACTATACAATGTCCCATGTAAATATGGTATTACACAGGACATTGTTTAGTATTTTATTTTATTACTCACCCTACATTGGCAAAATAATATCTCAGAATTCAACTTACAGGACTAATACCAGTTTTATAGTGCTAGACCAATGTGATACCATGCCACAGGTTTGATATGAATACACGGGTTTGGCAAGAATTTTATGGATGTCAACTTCTTTATTCTTCAATTAGGAACAGACAGCTATATATGTACATGTTAAAACAACAACAGTTATGAGATGGGTTAATCTCATAACTGTTCTTGTTTTAACATGTACATATATACAGGGGTGGAAATAGCCCATTGCCCGAGGTCCGAGTCCAGTGTTTTTTTTCTGTCGGGCAAGCAAATTTGTATATCACACTGTACAGGTGTCCAGTTGACTTTCCAATGTTAATTATGTTGTTTATTTAAATAAATCAACAAGAAAGCGGCCGGTATAGTGGAAAAATTATCAGGGCAAGTGATTTTACATGTGCCACTGTTCCGGAGTACACTAGCAATTTTAAAGTTATTTCCACCCCTGATATACCGGTAGCTGTCTGTTCCTAATTGTTTCATTCACCTGATGAAGGAGTAAGAATATACTTCGAAACGTCGTGACCCTTCACAATAAAGAAGTTGACATCCATACAATTCTCACCTTTATGTGTATCCCTCTAAATGACTCCATAATAAAACATGTTCTCTGCATATCTGGACTCATGTTTGTAATCTAGTTTATTAATTTTACTCAAAATTTCTTTCAAGAATGTTTATTAGAGTTGTGATGATATATCGTAGTATCGATAATCGTGATACTTTTTCTGACAATAAATATATCGATACTTTTTTCCGTATCGTGATATATATCGTTGACCTTAAAATTGTGAATTTTCACCCGAAATTGACGGTTATGTCAAAATTTACACTGTTTCTTGTTATCAAAATACACTTTTTTAAAGAAAATAACTAAAGATAGCATATCGTGATATGCATCGTATCGAATCGTATCGTTCCATGATATCGCGATGCGTATCGTATCGTGAAATTTCTGTATTGTCACACCTCTAATGTTTATATTAACTGCAGTGTCAGCGAGTAAAGAGTAAAGTAACTCACATGCTTGTGATAACATCAATCACAGGTTCATCTAGTCCTTAGTTGAATATTTACAAGCCACCATCTTATCACTAGAGTGTTGGCACGGATTATACAGGATTAAAAACACACACCCTTATGTCAGTAAGACTGCTGATGGGTTAAACTTTTAACAGTCGGAGCATCAAGGTGACCTCGTGTGAAGTATCTGCTTGTCACCACCAGGGATGTATTTATGTGTTCTCTCAGACTGATGTAAAACCCAGGTCTACTGTAAATGTCAGCAAAAATTGCCAAAGTTAAATTCCCCCAATCATTCCGGTGATTATTATTATTGGAACTAATGACTTAGCTTTGCAAACATGGCAAAGGTCAGCGGTATTTTCCCAAGGACAGAAATCAATAAAGACGAAAAAGCTTTAAAGCTTAATTTCGCCTTATTGTATTTAATGCTAAAGTACCCCTAAATTTAAAAAGATAGGACTTTTCACATTGCATGAATGAATAACAAATTAATGCTCGTAATTTTGTGGGCACTTTCTTGAAGCTTCTAGAATCTAGCTGAGGTAGGTATTCATCTGAGATTATAACCTAAGTCCTTTTCTTGAGTAATTCTACTGTGAAATTACCATCATGGATTGTATAAAAGAAGATAGCCACATTTAGCCAGCTCACAGAATGAGAAAAACTTTGTTTGATAACAAAAGATAAATATTTTAGTTATTATGTGTTTTATTTTTGAGCTCCAAGGTCATTTAGGCTGAAAGTATTTTGACTAAGTAGTTATCCACTAAGCCAAACAATGTGTTTTTTTATTAGTATGTTATATCAATTTATTTTGCTGCAATATCATAATTTATATAATATTTTTAATAAAAAAATTATTAATATATCATTTCATAACTATACCATTAAAAAAAGTAGGGGATTTTGGATTCACAAGATTGATAAAAAGCATGTGATGAAGCTAAGTAGGAAACAGATGATGAAGAGAAATTAAGGGAAAATGTGACAATTTATCCCATTCCTTTGGAAATGTTTCATCCGTATGGATATATATTACTTTTCTCATATGCATTGGCATTGGCTAGTTGTATACTTTCAAATGGAATATCCCCTACATTTTTTTAATGGTATATAAACACAATGAATTGGAAGTGAAAATCTCAATTCCTTGGATTTATAGGTTGTATGGTTAAGGTCCCTGCAAGTTTTCCTTCCAATAAAATCAACTTACATTATTTCTCAGTGTTTTAAGTTGTAACATAAACATGATAAACAGACCATAACTCCCATCCAACTGTACTGATCCTACTTTTACCACAAGGTCATCATCATAAATTTTCAATATGTAATTATCATTCTTTGTTTTCATGTTATGGTAAAACATATGGACTAGTACTAAAATGTTTTCATTCGCTTTAATATGCTGTTACATGGAATTAAACATTTTCAGAATGAAGACTATGGAGGAATGAGGTCACAATGTCTGAAAATAAAGAAATTAAGTGTTTTCTCTAATAATGATATTTTGAAAAGGTCTGTAATCAAAACTGAATCTGCCCCCCTCCCTTATTAATGATTATGGGCGGTGGGATAGCCTAGTGGTTAAAGTGGTCGCTCGTCAAGCAGAAGACCCAGGTTCGATTCCCCCACATTGGTATAATGTGTGAAGCCCATTTCTGGTATCAATTGCCATAAAATTGTTGGAATATTACTATAAGCAGCATACAACCAGACTAACTATCTCTATTGTAACTTCACGGGTAGACGGGGAAGTAGGATAGCCTAGTGGTTAAAGTGTTTGCTCATCACGCCAAAGACCCAGGTTCTCCACATGGGTAGAATGTGTGAAACCCATTTCTGGCGTGAAATGCCATAATATTGCTGGAATATTGCTAAAAGTGGGACCCATGAAGGTCCGGGTTAGAATACTGATCTTCAGTTACCCATGCTTGTCGTAACGGGAGGTGACTAACGGGATCAGGTGGTCAGACTCGCTGACTTGATTGACACATGTCATCGGTTTCCAATTGCGCAGATCGATGCTCATGCTGTTGAACACTGGATTGGCTGGCCCAGACTTGATTATTTACAGACCGCCGCCGTATAGCTGGAATATTGCTGAGTGAGGCATAAAACTAAACTCACTCACTCACTAAAAGCGGCTTGAAACCATACTCCCTATCTCTCTATTGATGATTAAATACAGGTGTTTGGCAGCACATAATATAGATTAATTATGAAATTAAATAATCTAAATGGTATATACTTAGTAATACTTATTTGTCATTTGTATTTTGTGTAGTTCAAAATAAATGGTGAGATTAGTTTAAAATTTGTTTTCAATAATAAATTACAGTCATGAAAGTTTTCTCTCTCACTCAAACTTTTAATTGTATTTTGAAATGTGAGCAAACAAATATTTACACCTCAACTAGTTTTCTTTCACTATTCTAAATAGTTTTACTCCATGAATGAAGTCAATATTTATATAATTCATCCGTGTCAGGTGACATTTTGCGCAATAAATTATTACTGTAGAGTTCATGAGAATGTGATGACAGCATAGTAATTTAAGATCTGAACAGATTACAGGTACGAAGACAATACAGGTATCATGCTCAGTGTTATACTTTCGGTTTGAATTTTCCTGCATATCATATGAAACAGCTTAAATTATCAGAGTACTGTTGACATATTTCACCCATTTTATCCAAATACTAAACTTGTCTGTGCTCTATTGACCAATCCAGATACTAATTAATACTTATTTGGGTGCAATTTTCATCCAAGGTAAATACGTTTCAGTATTTGACGGAATTTCCAGTTCGCATGAATCACCAGCATTCATTAACACCGTGGCCACATTGTAACACAGTGCTGCTATATGAGCAGCCATTGTGAGGGGGAAGCAGATGTAGGCGTCGGCCATATATTACACAGGTGTGAGTGCGTAGTTATCAATACAGGTCTATAAACACATTGCATCATGGATACTTTTGTGATGCTGTACACGCAGGCTTGGTTTTGTTACGTACAGAAAGCTCAACTTTTATTTGTTGGTTATTGGACATTTTACATAAAATTCTATTCAGCCGTTCATTTATTTGTCTCTTTATGTCATGTTGACTAAGGGATGTACTGGTAGTGTACTTAGATTGTTTTTAATTGTAGTTCACCGGCAATTTTGTATATGGTAGATTTTTAGCTCACCTCTATCAAGTTTAATATTCTAGTAATATGGCAGCGGTCTGTAAATAATCGCGTCATCAACAACATGAGCAACCATCTACTCAAATACATTAAGTTTAATTGATATTGCCTGATTCACGTTTATAGTAATAGTTAGGTTTTGTAAGCTAGTTCACTTCTGGAACATCGACCTTTCATGAAGAGAAGACAAAAAGATATCTTTTATTTCCAAAAGATTTTATTTAATTTATGTTGAAAATTGATATTTTTTTCACTTATGAGATGAGCATTTGAGATTTCTGTCTTTGATATACTGAGTGAGTGAGTCTTGTTTTTACGCCGCTTTTAGCAACATTTCAGCAATATCTTGGCAGAGAACTCAAGAAATGGGTTTCACACATTGTACACATGTGGAGAATCAAACCTGGGTCTTCAGCATGATGAGCAAACACTTTAACCACTAGGCTACCCCACAATCCTTATATCAATGAGTAAATAAGATGGGTTTTGCTCTGCTTTTAGCAACATTCCACCAGCATCACAGCGGGGCACACCAGAACTGGGCTTCACACATTGTACCCATGTGGGGAATCAAACCCAGGGCTTGGGCGTCATAAGTGAACACTTTCACCACGTGGCCACCCCACCGCAACCGATTTACATAATGTATGTGAGAGTTGATGCATGTATAAAATATATATGTCATGATATATATATGTCACATTATGTCATAGCCGGTGACAAAAGAGGGGCACATAAAGATGCTTTGTTCAAGAATTTACAGTTGATCAGCATGGTGCTGTTGCTTACAAGGATAAGGCTCTTCTTACTGAGGGTTCAAATCCTGAAGAAACTGTATTTTGTATCCAAAAATTGTTTCTGATATTGAAATATGTAGCCCACAATGTTACATCTTAATACTTATAGGGCACAGTATCACAGCTAAATATTTGTTTACCTGCAGTGTTACTGCTAAATATTTATAGTCCTCATTATCTTAGCTAAATACTTATAGTCAACAGTATGACAGCTAAATATTACAGCTAAATACTTGCAGCCCTCAATATTACAGCTAAATACTTCTAGTTAACAACATCCCAGCAAACTACTTGTAGCCTGTTAACAACCAGGCCCTAGGTTTCCGAAGCTCTCTTATCGCTAAGATAGTTATAAGTTAATGTTAATGTATGGCACATAGTCGACTATCTTATGGCACTACGACTATCTTAGCGCTAAGAGAGCTTTGAAAATCTAGGCCCTGAATGGTGGACGCGAGTAGCTTCAGTAGGTTTGATGTGCCATATGTCATATTCAACCTCTGAATCAGTCGAAAACAATGCTCAAAGACATTGGCACCAGGCATGGTAGCCAACTTTAATGTATGACACTGTATTACTACAGCCAAACATTTCACACAGAATCCCAACAAGATGATCACTTTTCTGAGTCATCAAATTTATTTCCATATATTCATTCACACATATTTTTGATGCCGTTAACATTTCCCAGAGATGAACTATGTGTTTGGTTTTCCTTACAACAGTCTCCTAAAATTATGATTTTAACCCAAGTACGATAGCTGTTGCATGGAGATCTGAGGACACCTCTGTAGAAGGTTGCACCACATCAAATTTCTAATCAGCTAATGAGCATCAAGGCTTCTAAATTCTCGTATTGAGCGAGAGAAGCATACAAACCAACATGTCTGATTGCTGTAACTCGCAACTCATATTCATATTTGAGTTGCAAGACATAAAGAACTGTTATGTTGGTTGTGGATATTTAATTCATCCCATCATTTCTGAGCGCTATGCCATCAAATGGGTGTTCTACTGAGAGCATATTTATTTACAGTGGAAGTTTGAATTGCTCTGATTATTATCCTGATTCAAGGTGGTAAAGAAATGGAGCAGAAACATTTTAAAAAGCTGACATCTGATTGGTTCAAGAATCCAGTCATCCTTTTTTTGATTGGATAGTCAGAGGTCGCTCAGGTTCTCCTGCAGTAACCTTCTAGTGAGTTTAGTTTTACGCTGCTTTTAGCAATATTCCAGCAATATCATGGCGGGGGACACCAGAAATGGGTTTCACGCATTGTACCCATCTGGGGAATCGAACCGGGGCCTTTGGCGTGACAACCAAACGCTTTAACCACTAGGCAACCCCACCATCCCAGTAACCTTCTATGGAGGTTTGCTCAGATTTTCCTACAGAGAATAGTGAAGTCTGTCTAACAGTCCCAGAACCACATTATTTTCCCACATGTCTTGCCCTTTCTGTAATGTTAAATCTCTAAATGAAGCGAATTTAGATTTCCTCAGGTTCTGAATCTACCATATCACTGGGGCTCATTTCAATTTAAAAGTAATTATTTGTTTCTATGAAAATTATGTACATTCAGTGACTAAACAATAGTATAAGAAGAATGCAGAGAGATCATATTTTTATTGAGACTGACTTAATATTTTTATCTAAGATTTTGTTGTAGGCCTGCCATCATTAGTTTTCAGGGTCCCAGGCTTTGGCAGTGAAACGACTACAGAATCCTGTGTTCATTATCATTGTAGTAATTATGTTTAGAGCTTTTATTTTTAGTGTTTTGTTAATTTACAAAGCATTTGCTTGCGTGCATGTACCTGTTTTTGTTTCTACTCGTAATTTAGTTTCCGTGTCAGTGAAGTTGTGTATATTTCTTGCAAGACCATGGCAGCATTCAACAAAGTGATCTCGATGCTAAGACTGTCGTAAGTCTATGTTAAAGAATTGGAGTTACGAACACGATCGTCTTAGCACTGATGACTCTTTGTAGGTCAGGCCAATACTATAGTCACTACTGTAACGGTTCTGACTTCTCTTATGTCCAGATCCCCTACTGCCCAGAACCAGAAGGCAGCTGCCACTGTTCAAGGTCAAGGTCAGCAGGGGATGCTACTCAACAAGACCCCTGACCCTGAGATTGGATGGATGACCGAGGCCAAAGACTGGGCAGGGGAACTTATATCAGGACAGACCACGACTGGCAGGATACTGGTGAGTGCCCATCATGACATGCTGCCCTTGTCTATTTAGCATTTTCCATTCCATTATAAATAACCTGGACCCAATTGCCAGCCTATTCTTTGGTGTGAGTCCATATCGAATGACAATGGTACAAATAGCTGTCAAATTAAATTAAACTGTTCTTTCATGACCGAAGAGGCGATATACGGAATCTTCATGACTGGTGTCCTCTTCAGGGAATGGTGTTTCCAGTCAGTCTTCCATTAAAGTTTCCTGTTTTGCTTATATATCAAGTTCTTGTATTAATGTGTGGATGAAAATTAATCTGTCTCTATCTGTTCCTAAGAGCCATTGTTTTAATTTCTAATGGAGCTGGGAATTTCACTTCTAGTGTGAAGTTCTTGTAGTGAGTGAGTCTAGGGGATGTTATGATAGAACTGAGATATTATACTCTTGGTATGTAAGATGCAGAAGTAGCAGGGTAGTGTCACAGGGGCGGATACAGCTTTTTGAGAAAAGGGGGTGCACACTATTGAGAAAAGGGGGGTGCACACTTCATTTCCACCCAAGTTTCAACGACCATTTAACAAACTTTCTGGACAAAAGGGGGGATGCACACCCCTGCACTCCCCCTCTTGATCTGCCTATGGTGTCACCCCATAGATGATATCCATACCTTGTCAGCTTGCTCACCCGGGGTTAACCTCTTTGGGTTTGTGGACAAGGCATTCCTCCTTGATTAAAATGTCTGTGGTTCTAATCCCATTTCAGGACTTAGAAATTTTATGACGGCAAAGTTACTTTCCAATGAGGAGCTGAGGACATTCATAAACAATTTGAGCAAATTTTATCTCAAGCAGCTATAATACAGTCTTTCATATCCATTGTGATAACGGGGGACAATATGGGATAGACATCCTTACCATTTCGGCCTGTTGATTTGGGTTAACAATTTGGTCATCTGGGCAGTCATGCATCCTTGGTTCAGAAGGTCTATGAGAGATCTTGTAAAGGTTATGGCCACTCCACAGACAGATGTTTCGGGTTGATCAACTGTGTCATCTCATATAAGTTGTTGTAAGGAGGTCAATCGGTTATGACTTCACCAATCTTCTTTTCTTCTTCACTTGTACAATATAGTGATATTATGATGGGGTTTAGATGACAATATTTACAAAAGTTGTTACATCGCAGTCACTGACAAATCTGCCTCCCAAGGCTACAAAGCGACTGGCTCAAACTTGGACAGTGGTGTATTGTTGAATACAACTGGATTGTAAAACTATGCACCCTGAATACAACACTACATTTCATACCTGGGGAATATAAAACCAGTGTATGAAATAATGCCCGTCTGACCGCCCGAGAAGGCTAGATTTCTGACGGATAGTCTTAATTTACAGCTAACAAGTCCAATGGTCTGGTAAAAAATTTAGATGTTCCATACATCTGAGTAAATTCACAATATCTTGGTGTCTGTTATGGTTAAATCCATTTTGGGCTAGTAACATTTAGAAGTTACCAGCCGGGATGTGTGGCTGGTTTTGGGCTTATTTCATACACTGATATAACCCAACAAATTTATGGTCCAATTGTTTGATTAATAGAGATAAACAGCGTCCAATTTGTACAATATCCTTAGTGAGTGAGTTTAGTTTTACACCACGTACAATATCATCAACACATGCAGACTGTTTCTAATCCTCTGCACTGAAACATACTTGAGCACGTTCCAGCTGAATCCCAGTGTATTGAGATAGTAAAGCCGTAAATATCTGCAAGTCATTGAACAGCTGAAGGGTTCCCTGACATGAATACCAGAACAGGATGGGCTTGATTACTATGGCTCAGTCAATTTAATTACCTCCACCATGGTAGGTTATAACTGTGTAATTAACATGGCAACTGCCCTAGAAATTCATTCTTATTAATCAAATGATAATTTTACAGATTCAAACCATTTTCCTCCCACTACTTTCTAATGGGATGTATGTTCTGTTGGTATGGAAAGTCATTTTAATCGTGGTGTAAGAGTTGGGAAATTTCTTTCTAGAATTTATTAACTGATGAAATACCAAGATGAGGACTGGAATGTAGATTTGAAAACTACTTCTTGATCTAAATTGAGTCAACTCGTGAAGATCCGGGTTAGAATTGGTCTTCAGTAACCCATGCTTGTCGTAAGAGGTGACTACCGGGATCGGGTGGTCAGGCTCGCTGACTTGGTTGACACATGTCATTGTATCCTAATTGCGTAGATTGATGCTCATGTTGTTGATCACTGGAATGTCTGGTCCAGACTCGATTATTTGCAGACTGCCACCATATAGCTGGAATATTGCTGAGTGTGGCGTTAAACAACAAACCAACCAAATAAATGGAATCTGAATCTGAATCGATGTGTCCAAGAACTTGGATACAATGGCAGCAGACAATATGACTACAGCAATCAATTGAAAGGAAGGAACAGTTCACCTGTATACTCAGGTAAAGGTCATTGTAATGTTAAGGAGGTATTACCTGCAGTCAATTCCTGGATGCACTCAGACATTTGTCTCATTAGTAAATTGAAATAATCATTTTAAAAGGAATGGTAATCTCCTATAAATGTTTGATATGAATTTCAACTTGTACTTACTTAATAGCAAAGTTAATAATTAAATAGAGATTACATACTTTCTATACATGATACATTTGTCTTATATTCTCTTCTCTTACACTGACATATGTCATCGGTTCCCAATTGCGCAGATCGATGCTCATGCTGTTGATCACTGGATTGTCTGGTCCAGACTGGATTATTTACAGACTGCCGCCATATAGCTGGGATATTGCTGAGTGAGGCATAAAACTAAACTCACTCACTCACTTCTCTTACACAATCGAGATATATTTTTATTTTTTCAATCACGAGTGATTTCCAACTTCATTATAACTTACTTAAACTGCATCTTGTATTATTGTCCAAGAAAATTTTAAAAAACAATATGCATTTCCTTGACTTGATAAAGTAAACTAATGTAGATTTCAGCTGTCTGTCGATGCAAGACTTTTTGTCGGAAGTAAATTGCCATCAACTGATTGTCCTTGAGAACAGTTTTTGCTTTGCCTGTATTTCATTATGGTGATGATGGCAACCAGTTGTTCGTTGATATCGATTTGTTACTTGTTTTTGCAAAACATATCAAGTTTTTATTTAAGTTAAAAGTTTCAGTTGACAAAACAATTACTCTGCTTTGCCAACTTTCATCAGTAAAATTAATAGTAGGTAATGAAGCGTAACATATTCTTTATGGAAACGTACTTTGTTATGATACTTTATTTCTAGCAAATACCTCCTTCAAGTAACCATGGAAACACATTGTAAGCGTCTCATTTTGGTTGAATCCTAATCTTTGTTCTACTCAAGTCTGTCTTTGTATATGATGGTCTGGTATGGAGTTCATACGGGTTCAGTTCAGTTGTTACTTGTGTTCAGATAAGATTGTTGTTGATGTCTTCAGTTGTTTGTTGTCTAACAAAATGATAGCTACTGTGGATTTCCATTGTTGGGCTTTGTTAACTGTGTGCAGCATAAACCTAATATTGATTCGAAGGTAGCATTGGTCGGCAGGGGTGGAAAAAATCCACTGCCTGACGTCCCCTTTCAGTGTTGTTTTCTGTCGGGCAAGCAAATTTGTATATCTCGCTGTAACGGTGTCCAGTTGACTTTCCAACGTTAATTATGTTTGTTTTTAAAAATCAACAAGAAAATCGGCCGGTATAGTGGAAAAATTATCAGGGCAAGTGATTTTACATGTACCACTGTACCGGGAGTGCACTAGCAATTTTAAAGTTATTTCCACCCCTGGTCAGAGTGTTATTGAAGTAGAATATCACAACTTATTCCAACTGAAACTGTATCGTGCAGTGTTCCAGGCTGTTGTATACATTGTGGGTGTTTCTAGATATCTGTCCAGATATGCAGTGTTGGCTTTGAGGTAAACACAAAACATTCAATAGGCTTTGTGTTCCGTGTTTAAAATTTAAACAATGGGTTGCTCTTGTGCCATTGATTTGTCAGAGTCAGTCCGATCTCATTGTGTTGAAAGAAAGGATGTATTGTTGACCTGTTGGTCAAGCTGGTCACATGTGGCCAGTCAACAAGGTGTGGAAATTCACTATGCAGAGTTACGTCCCTTAGGGTGTACCAGGAGCTGGTGATCATGGGTTTGATTCCTAGGTTCATGTTTCTGAGTTTGTAAGGACCACTGATCAGGTGGTTTTTCATAAAGTTATTATCTAAGACTTCGTAATGCTGGATGTTCTTCCCACAGTAACTCGTAAAGACCCGGGTTAGAATTCATCTTCCTTACCGTATATTACCGTATATAAACCGACCCCATAGATAAGCCGACCCCGAAACTTGACCCTTAAAATCAGTGTGAAAATGGTATGTTTCGTACATAAGCCGATCCCCCGCGATGGGGTCCTAATCACGGCAAACACAGACCACAGACAACTGGCAGTTACCAATAATTATAACTTTGGTCCACATTATTCATAGAATTCACAATCATATTGCGTCTGCTTATGCATCGAAATGAAGTGTAGGTGACAGAAAATGGATAATAAATATATTTTGTTTCACTAAATATCATACTTCTTGTAGCTGGACGATCACATGTCAACAAACTGGCTTGCTTATTTTACCCCTTTCAACAATCACGAACTGATTACCGCCTTGTTTTCCATGGTCTGCTAGTTTACAGAAACATCAGTAAAAATGTGTGAATTTAAATGGCTTGCTTATTTTACCTCATTCCGCTTTTACCTTATTCTGCTTACAACGTTCATGAGGGTCCGTATAACCTTAGTGTTGATTATATATATTTTACATTTATAGAGCAAAAACTGTAATTAAAAGTACACAAAACTAGTACATATTTCTTTGGGTTAATTAATAGTACTCTGTATTATATTTTACTGATGACTGTGTCAGAATTCATCCCGTTATATTATTGTGCATGTTTGAACTTGATCACCAGGAA